TATCTAAAAATTTAATTATAGATTGGTAAATTAAAAATGCTATAGAATATTATATTGTTAAATATATACTGTACTTACATCCTTTGTTTAAAATAATAACGTAAATTTTTGTAATTTATAATTCAAGAATTCTTATTTTAATAATTAATTTTACCACCTAATTTATAGATATATATTAATTAGCCAAAGAAGCAATTTAAGATGTTACTTGAAGGCCACTAATTTTATAAATTTTACTTACAACAAGCTATATGGTCAAATTTTTAAAAAATTGATTAGAAAAATATAATCTTTACAAAAATAATAACTTAAAAGTCGAATACTCACTCCCTAGCAATTAAAAAAGCATATCAAAATTACAATTTAAAAATGTTAAAAAAGAATTATAAAACATTATATATACCACAAACTATAATTTAATAAGCAATTTTAATAAAAATAAATTAGATATTTGCATACAATTATTGCAAGATATTAAATTTAAATAAAAATTAACTTACGCCCTAATAATTGAATTATTTAAAGTTATAAATATTTCAATATTGTATTTAAAAATAATACAATTTTACACATACTATAGCCTAATATATTAATAAAAATTATATTTAATTTATTGTACTGTAAGTAATTAAGAAAATATTTACAATATACTTACCAACTAATTATTAAAACCATAAAGAACATATATTAAAATTGATGAACATTATCGTGGTTTTCAAATTACTGTAACCATCCAATCACAATACACTTTTTTGTGAATAAACCTAATTAACTTTTTTTAATTTTGTAGGAATGACCTTAGCAAAGAACCCTGAGAATTTTTAATTTAATCAAGTAGATAATATTTATTTTATAAAAGAGTATCAAATTCTTTGAATTCTATTTATGATGATTATCGAATGATCACAGTAATTTGGAAAAGCGCTGTAATTGGAAAAGAATATATAGTTTATACTCACAGCCTAAAATTAAAATAAATCAATAATGTAGAATATTATAAAAAATTGCTATAATACTGATCCGATTTAAAACTTTGACAACTTATTTCTATAAATATTATAAATATTTTTAATATATTTATATAGAATAAAATAAAAGCAAAAAATATAATTCTGTATTTACCAGGTCGTTAGGTCAAAGTTTTAGAGTTTAATAAAATACTTGTTCTTACTGACTGACAATTAGTATAATAACAAAAATGTTAATATATATAATACCAAAATTTATAAACAAATTATACTTACAGCTTAATTTTAATAAAATAAATATATTAAGAATATTTTAGTTTATTAATTAATGAATTTGTAGATTGTAATAAAGATATTTACCAACTAATAATTATATTTATAATATAAATCTTATTTAAAATAATCAACTTAAAATAAGCACAAGAGAACTTCATTTATATATACCATCTACAATAGTAATTTATAATTTAGTATGCAGCATTAATATGTATATCAATTTTAATGTCTTATTTATTAAATAATATAAAGTAGTTTTAAAAAAAAATACTTACAAACTTATTTTAATAAAGTACAAAATTCATTAGATATATAAACCTTATATCAACTAAAGGTCATACCCAGTATTTAAAATTTATACTTACTCGCTAATCATTTAATTAAAAATACATATTAATATAGTAAAGCATATAATTTCTTGAATAGGGATATTAAACCATTAAGACAAACTAGATATTTTAGTTCCAAATAGTAATCAATTATCCTAAATAGTTATTAAAGCTTTGACGATTTATAACTATAGATCTATAGCATTGCTAATAAATTTTATAATCTGAAAACAGAACTAGCAATTATAAATAACAATTGTTGCATCTGAAGTATCTTCTATCTGGAGTAGTCACATCAGGTATCTAAAGTGGCACCTGAACAAAATAAAGTGCTTGAAATTAGACCTTCTTGCATGCATTATTAGTGGGTTTCATGCATGCGCATTTTATCTCTAAATTTTATATTGGATAATTAAAGTATATATAATTTAGGCCAGAAAGTATAATGCGGGCGGAATTAAGAAATAGCAGAAGTTCCAAAAAATTACAGCCAATCCCCTCTATAATCACACGTTTTTTTTACTTAAGAGTTTTTTAAAAAAAAATGTGCTTATAAAGAGATTGTGCTTATATAGAGGTGGTTTTTTATATGTTAATTGTAATTTGTTTTTGAGTACAAAATGTGATAAGAGAGGTTTTATATGATGAGATTATAGAGGGTGATTTTAGAGGGAGATGACTGTATGAAAAGAAAATGAATGAACACAAAAGACGAGAAGGGTTGGGTAAAAATTGAGCAAAATTCCGATATTTTCCGAAGGGAAAATATGAAATCAAAAAAATATCATGCGAATTTTTCCCATCACTATATGCATTATACTCTTATGCTACTCCAAACAGGAGGCTATTTTAAAGACAGACAATAACACACAGTAAACTAAATATTGGAGTTTAGATTCAAATAATGATAGTTTGAGCTCGGAACTGAGTCAACGTTAGAGATGAATCGGTTGGCCCAGCCAAATCAATAAACTAATCCTTATTCGGTTTTATAAAGGCTGATTTATGCGTATCTCGTCAATGTAGTTTTATTCTAACTACTCAATATCCCTATTCTTGAGATTAATTTTTCAAAAAAAAAGCTTCTACACATACAGCGTTCTATTAATTAAAATTAATAAGGACAAAATTTATATATTAAGATAATTCAATATGATTAAAATAAATTAATATCTGCTTACTTCCTATTAATTTAAGAATGTTAAAAAATATTATTAAATGTTAACTTTACTAATAAAGTTATTTATTTAATTAAATACTTAATACTTACGAACTAATATTTAAAATTATAAAATTGTTATTTAAAATATAAATAATAGTATTGATATATAATATTTACCCCCTAACAATAGGAGATAATTTAAGTATAAAAATTAATTTGTTAAATAAACATAATTTTAAAGACAGTAAAGCTTTATACTCACATCCTAGTATTTCAAAGATATGTTATTATTATATAAACCCAAGTCAAATATGCAAAACAACTACCGGTTTCTTGAGATTTATTGATTATACGCATAATACATTAATAGATTATAATATTATTTTTAAAATAAATAAATATAAAAAGTTTATACATACGAGCTAATATTTTGGTATGTGTACTTATATTAGAAATAAAATTAAATTAGAGTAAACACTGATATTATAAAATCTTTTACTTACAGACTATTAATTTGATTGGAATGTTGCATTAGTTAAATGTTAAATTCGATATCTATAATTTTTCGGTTCTACCACAAAATCCCGAAATCTATTTTCCCGAAAGAACATAATACCGACTAAATTGGCCACATTATAACTAATGCCAGATAACTTTGTCAATATTAGGTCCTTTCGGGAATTAGATTTTGTGATAAAACCATAATTTTTAATACTTACAGGCTAGTAGTTAAATACAATATAATTATATAAGCTAATAAATTTAAGAAAATAATATTTTTTTAACGTAGATATTAATGTACTTACTAACTATAATTTATTATAAATTTATTAATAATATTAAATTTAATTATCTTATAAAATGAAGCCTTATACTCACACTCTGGCAATTTAAAAACATATAACTTATTATTTTAAAAATATTATTTTTTGTGAGCATTACAAAATCTAATAAAAACTTACTCCCTAATAATTTAAATATAATAAATTTATTATTTAAGATATAACATTTTTAAAAAATAATAAAGCAAAGTAAAAATTATACAAACAATCTAATAATAAAATAATTAGATTAATAATAATATATATTTTTTTTGAAAAGATTAAATAAATTATTATACTTAACCACTAATTTTTAATAAAAAAAATGTATTATATTTAATAAGTAAAAAATTTTTTAAAAAAGTATAAATAATTATACGAACCGGCTAATAAGTTATAAAAATTTATGATTAAAAAAGGTTATTAAAAAAAGTTAAAAACAAAAAGTTTAAGATTTTACCCACAGACTTAAGGTTATACGCAACAAATAGTATAAATAGAAAATTTTCTTAATAAACAAATATAAATATAAGCTTAAATAGATATAAAGAATATTATACTTACTGCCTAATTATTGATTGTTAAATTATATCTTTAAAAAATAGAGTTAATTTTAAATATAACAAACTTGTTTATATTTGCGTACCTCTTAATTATTTGAAAGGATTTAATAAAAAATCATAAGTAATAATTTTAATAATAATAATAGTACAATAAATACTTACAAACTATTATTAAAGTAATAAATATATTAGTTAATAAATTTATTAAGCTTAAAAATAGATTAGTAAACTTGTTATATATATACCACGTACTAAAATAAAATTAAGTATATAAAATTTAGGCTTAAATTTTAAACAATTATAATAAATTTAATACTAACAATCTAGATTTAATAAAATAAAATATAAATTAATATAGTATATATAAATATATAATATAAATAACAAAAATAAATTTATAACATTTACAAACTTAATTTAAAAATTCGTATCAAGTTAGTGTATTTAAATTAATAAATAGTTTAAATTAATATAATATTATTTTTATTTTACCAACTAAAAAGTAAAAGTTAATTAGTAAATATAAATTTAATAAGTTAAAAATTAACAAGCTTTATACTTACGCCCTATAAAATAAACAAATAAACATGAATATTAATTTTAAATTAAATAATAAATAAAATTTAACATTACCAGCTAATAATTTAATAAATATAATTAGTATAAAAACAAAATAATACTATATAAGCGCAAAATAACGCGCAGGGGCGTTGTTTTGAATAATGGCCTGAGTTGGGCTTAATTTAGGCCAAAATTCGAAATTACACCCTGCGCATTATTTCCGCATTTATACGGTAATATAAAATTTTAAATAATTTATACATACTCCCTAATGATTTATTATAAATGTAATTAGCCAATTAACAATTATAATTTTTTAATCAATAAAACGTTGTTGTATAAGATTTACCAATATCTAATGTATTGAAATTTAATAAATTAGCTTTAGATAATTGTATAAAATATAAAAATATTTTATATTTACCCCCTAGTAGTAAGTAAACAAAATTAAACCAAAAAAATATAAAGTTAAAAGTAAAAGTAAAGTAGTGAGTAATATAGTAAAAAAAGAAAAATTATTTTTATAATGCCGTGTTATATACACCTTATACTATATATCAAAAACGTACTAAGTAAACGGGATCGGGTATTCTAAGTAAAAATGGTCAGGACCCAAAAACCTCACGAGAACTGAAATCATGACTTTATATCTAATACACATTATATATATACGTATTATATAAAAGCCTCTATTCATCTTAAAGTTGTGCCCTAACCCTTATCTAACTCCAACTCAGACTATATAGGTGTTATAATAACACGGTATTATGAATACAGGTGACCCTCGTTAATTTCAACCCATTTGAATTGGTTTTAAATCATGTTGATAGGAGAAATCATATTAAAGTTGATTTATATGGGGGAATTTTGATATATAAAATTGATTTTGTGGTGTGGCTTAGGTTGATATTAACGAAGTTGATATTAACGAGGGTGACCTGTATAATGTTCCAGTAAAAAATTATTTATTACTTACTGTCTAATATACGTGTATAATAAATTGCTTAAAAAGGTATCAAAATAAATCAAATATCTCTTATAAAACTTTATACATACTGCAGCCTAAAATTACAAAATCATTAAAAAATATGCAAATAATAATTAAAGCAAACTTAAAAATAAATTTTATAGAGCTTATACTGTACTTACAATCTATTAAAATCAAATATATTAGTAATTATATAATAAATTAAATATTTAGTAAAAATCCAATTAGTAACATACCACCTGATAATTATTAAAATAAAGTAATTTTAAAATAATTAATATATTATTTTTATTTTAATTTAAATTATTAGATTATTAATTTAAAAATAATTGTAGTTAATACTTACAAACTAGTAATTAAATAAAATAGATTAGTAAATTATATAATAAACCATTAATAATTAAATCTTTTATTACATACAACCTATAAATTGAAAAATAAATACAACAAATTTACTAAAAAGATAAACGATATTAAATTTAAAACTATTGAAAGCTTTATACATACTTTCTAAAAATATTAAATATGTATTAGATATTAATATTGTTATATTAATTAACTGCAATATATGTTATTTAAAATACTTACTAACTATAAATTCACAAATAGTATAGAATTAAAACCAATGCAAGTTATTTTAAATACTAATATAATTAAAGAATAAAATCTTACAATCTAACAATTTAATAAATTGTTAATAAAAAATATAAATATAGTAAATATTATTTAATATTTTAAATTTATACTGTACATACGCTCTAATAGAAAAAAATAAAAAAATAAATACTAATTAAGTATAACTATTAAAAAAGCATAAAAAAATTATACTTACATCCTAAAATATAATAATAAAGATTATTTAAAATATAATATATACTAACTAAGAAAAAAAAACACTTATACTCTAAGAATTAATAAAATATATGTTGGTTAAAATTTGCATAAGCTGACTAAAATATAAATAAAATCAAATTTAATAGCTTTATACTTACAACCTATTAAAAAAGAATAATAGTAAGTTACATAATTATTTAAAGACATAATTGTAAATATTAATACTGTAACAGAACTTTATACTTACAATCTAATTGTATTATTAATGGAAAATTATACAAGTTATTATTAAATAAAGATCTGCAGAAGACGTGATTAAAACTTTATACATACAATCTAATAATTGATAAAATTACTAAATTAATTACCCGTGTTGAAAGTAACAGTACCGGGTTGTGATCGATGAACAAGATTCATGACAAATTAAATAAATATAAAGTTAAATTAAAACTATAGTAAAAAATTTATCTTTTTTTGCTAAACCACACCACAAAAGGCAATTTTATAGGCAATATTTGAGTTTGTGTTATGTTTTTAAAAGTATTCATATCTGAACCAATATAATTGGTCAATCACAACCTGATAACTGTCACTGTTTTACAAATAGATTTACCCATAAAATTATTAATAAGTTCACACTTACCAGCTTAAAATTTGAAGAAATATTAGAAGAGATTTAAAGTTAATTGCATATAAAGTGAAAAGGTAAATTTCTATACATACCGAAGACTAATAAACATAAATAATAAATAATTATAAAAATTAACTAAATAAGTACTAAGCTCATCAAATAAGGCAAGATTTTATATTTACGTGCTAAAATTTTCAAAATCATTTTTTATTTCAAATTGGTTTGCTTGAAAACAAATTATAAAAATATAATTGAAACTTTATACTTACTGTCTAATAAGAAACAAATCATAAACCATAAAAGTTAGCACAGAATCACATTATTTAAAGGTACATTAAGAATAAGGATAGAGTCTTTATACTTACCAACTATTATTTAATAAAAAATGCATATTAAATTTCTGAATTTCATTATAAATAAATGCTTATAATTCAATTTTCAAAAATAAACTTTATATCCACCCACTATAATATAATATAAATTAGATTATAAAATTAAGCAAAAAATATTTAAGGCAAATAAAGTTAAAAAATAAACCTATATACTTACTAACTAATAATTAATAAAAGAATATAGATATAGTACATGTTAATAAATCAAATATTAAATAATGTTGAATTAAAATATATTTGTTATAAAATATTAATTTAAAGATAATAATGCTTATACTTACAAGCTAAAAATTTAATATAAAAATGTCAAAGTATTTAGAAATAATACTTAAAAATGAGTAAACAATATACTGCATAATATAACATTTACTTACTATCTAACAAGCAATAAGGTGTTAATAACCGAATTATTAATATACAGATAAGCAATCAATTCAAAATGTTATAGAATCTATACCAAAGTCTAATAATTTAATTTAGAACCATTTAAAAAAATATTAGACATTATAATTATTAGTTCAATGGAAATAAACATTATACTATATTTACCCTCGTCTAATAATAATTAAAATAGATTAAAAAATATTTTTTATAATAAAAACACTGGAGAATTTATATTACAAACTCCATACAACTAAATAGTTTAAAATGAATTTAAGCAATTAGTGTAATGAGTATTATTAATAAAGGTTAAATACAATACGTACAAGTTTGTAATTTAACAGGTTAAAATAAATTAATTAGAATTGCTCATTTTATACAAAAAAGCTAAAAATTAGATGAATAAATAAATTTTTACACTTACCGACTAGATTATATGATTAATAATTTATAAAAAAATAAATTAACATGAGCGTCAATATTAATACGGTCGTCCTCCTCTATAATCACGCTGTTTGTTTTACATAAAAAAGATGTGATTATAAAACTTTAATAGTAATGGGGTTATATAGAGTTTTTTTAATAAATATAGGGAGTTGTTATTTCCACCTCCCAATTTGTTAGTGCCACCCCACGTGATATATAGACTATCTCAGTAAAAATAAAAATTTTAAAAACTTTGAGCTAAGATATATCGACAACTACCCACTTGAATCTGGTAAAACCTTTTAGATTTGAATTCTATGGATTCATAGAATTCAAATAAAAAAAATTCCATCGAATTTAGCCAGAGATATCTTCGCTCAAAATTAGAAACAAATCAAAACGCCTATCAAAATAGAAGCTGCGCCAAATTTCTCTCTAACTTTAAGCAAAGATATCTCGATAACTATCTGACCAAATTCAATAAAACGTTTTTTATTTGAATCCTATAGATTCTTAGAATTCAAATAAAAAAATTTTCATTAAATTTAGTCAAGTGGCTATCGAGGTATCTTTGCTCAAAATTAGAGAAAAATAAAATGCCTATTAAAATAGAAAATTTCTCTAACTTTGAGCGAAGATATCCTGATAACAGTCTGCCCAAATTCGATAAAACTTTTTTTCTTTCAATTCTATATATTCATAAAATCCAAATAAAAAAATCCATTGCATTTAGTCAAGCGGATGTTGAGATATCTTCGCTTAAAGTTAGAAAGAAAATTTAGCGTAAATTCTATTTTGATACGCATTTTGAATTTTTCTTTGAACGAAGATATTCTGACAACCAGTTGATTAAATGTGATTAAATTTTTTTATTTGAATTCTATGAATCCACAGAATTCAAATAGAAAAGTTTTATCGAATTTGGTAAGATAGTTATCGAGATATCATCACTCAAAGTTAAAAAGAAAATTTAGTATAGCTTCTATTTTGATAGACATTTTGATTTTTCTCTAAAGATATCTCGATAAACACTTGACTAAATTCGATGAAAAGTTTTTTATTTGAATTATATGAATCCACAGAATTCAAATAAAAAAAGTTTTATCAAATTTGGTCAGATGGTTATTAAGATATCTTCGCTCAAGTTAGAGGGAAATTTGATACAGCTTCTATTTTGATATTAACCATAGCTGCCACAACAAATTTGGACTAGAAGATCCTCGATTTTGATTGGCTAACGACTGAGGATCTTCGAAATTTTGGCCCACATTATAAAATTGTTCACTAAATTCTAGCTGGAATTAACTTTTTAATTTTTTATTACAAAAATAGAAATTCTTAAAAAATAAGCCTGCATTATAGTAAAATTGACCCAGAAACCATTTTCACTTAATAGGCGGCTATGATTTTAATTTTTTGATTATCACTCTTAGCCAATCAAACTCAATAATCTGCCAGTTCAAATTGTTCATATGGGCGGATTTACTCCAATCAATTATATCACATGACATGATAATTGGGGTTAGAAACATTATGGCGTTAATATGGTAAAAATATAAAATTGTATACAAATTTATTATATGAAGGATAATTTTTAAGGCTTTTAATAATGCAGTATATAATTTTTTTATATAAGAAAAATATAATAAATAACATAGTAAGTTTAATTTAAAAAATATAGCAAGTCTCTAAAAAAATGAATATCAAATGCTATCATTTTCGAAATTGGGTTTACAATATTTTCACACAAAGTATTTCACTTTAAATCTATATTTTAAAAATATTTTTTCATAATAAATATTTTAAAATTAAGTTTTTCGCATTTCTATATAATTTATATATTTAGCACAATAGTCTAAAAATTTAAAAAAAAAAGGTTTATAAATACAAAGGTGCTAAAAAAAATATAAATAAACAAAAGACAGAAAACCTGATATAAAATCTTATTTAAAAGTTAAAATTTTTAGTTTCAATACCTTTTGCTTTTTTCTATTTATTTTTACTCAATTCAACTTATTTCTACTCATTTCAACAAAAACCCATTTAAACCCACCTATAAATCACAATTGCAAATAGATTTAAGAGAGATAATTGTTTATGATTGGTTTAGAAATCATCTGATCATAATATTGATTTTTAGTATAAAATAAATTCATAATAATCACAAAATTTATAAAGAATAAATTTGTTTGGTTAGTGCAAATTTGAAGATCTTATTTGAAATATTACAAATAACTATCAAATGGAGTCAAATTGGCTTATATGTGTGGAAGCTATAGTTAATTATTTTAATAGGCATTTTGATTTTCTCAAATTTTGAGCAAAGCTATCTCAACAACCACATAGCTAAATTTGATAAATTTTTTTTATTTGAATTCTATGAATCTACAGAATTCAAATTGAAAGGGTTTTATCTAATTTAGATAGGTATTTGTAAGATATTTTTACTCAAAGTTTTTAAATTTTTTATTTTTATCAGAAATTGCATGTTGATCAGTATCAAAAAAAGTAAGTGCAGGAGTATTAAATAGAGATTAGGCTCATATAAAATTTCTTTTTTAGATAACTAACCTATATTACAAACTCAAAACTGGGTAACAACACAGTTTATTTCAAATAACCTGAGTAACTTAGTTAACTTAATTAACTTGATTATAATAATAAAATTGGTTAAAAATGGCAATTTTTTTTTTTGATAATATAAAAATTTGAATCTAACTATATAAACTGTATAAGAATTAAATTTCATAATTTGGGCCATATTACTTAATTTTGAATTATTGGCTATATTCAAAATTTTTAAAATCTTGAATTGTTAATTAGATCAATTAGATTAATAAAAATTAATTGACAACATAATCTGTAACCAACCAAACTGCTAAAACCATGCTAAAATTTTATTATTCAAATTAGCTAGTTAGCAAAATTGCTATTCTGTTAAGAATGTTTATACAGGTTACTTGGGTAATTTTTATTTGGGTCTAATCTTTAGTATTAAAAATATAAGTTTTGCAACTATGGATAATTAGAGCACAACCACTCTAGTATTATCAATTTAAAAAATTTTGCTAATCACATGCTAGCTAATTAAATTTTTTTCTTAATACTAATATTACAAAACTGTTAAGATGTATTTTTTTTAAAAAAAAAAAAAATTATTACAAAAAAAAAACAAAATTTAAATTAAGAAACCATCTACTATAGTCTAATTAAAATGCTTCTGGCATCTACTGAACTCAATTAGTATATTAAAATATTTATTTTAATTTGCTTAAAAGTTTTTTAAAACAATTATACTTTGAATAAATTTACCCAAATATTCAAATCTTTTATTCCTGATTTGGAATAACTGAAGTCACGAGATGTAATGTGAGGTCTAAAAAAGTCTGAGAGGGTACTACATGAACTCATGGCGCCACCCGATTGGCTCGTGAAATAGCGGTCCAAGGATAAGGTGTTTTGGCCTCTCCGGAGTGTCGTGCAGGCGATCGGACCTAGGCCCCAATGAGGGAACTGGAGAAATGTCGGACAATGGATACCAGGTGGATACATATGATACCCGTATGGGGTTATGGAGGTCCTGTGAT